TTATTTGGATTCATTCTGTTTTTGTTACATGGGTCATCATGGTTTTAAATTTCCTTCTTAAGATTGCTTTCATTGTGTCCCACTAACTCAGTGTTGTACTGGCATTGTCTTTTAGTTCTAGAAAGTGTCTTATTTCTTCTGTAACTCACTGATTATTTGACTATATTGTTCAGTTTCCATAAGTTTGCATTAATCCTGTGTTTTCTTTTACCATTGATTTCTAGTTTCACTGGGCTACGACCTAATAATATGCATAATAATTTTGATTGTTTTGCCTTTACTTAGGATTGCTTTGTTGTCTAGCATGTGATCTACATTGGAGAAAATTATATGTGCTGCTAAGAGAAATGTGTATTTCATTTCAGTTGAGTAGAGCACTCTATAAAGATCTATTAAGTCCGTTTGTTTGAAGATTTGACTCTGACATTTCTTTGTTGATTTATTTTTGTCTAGTTCATCTATTTGTGAGTATTGAAGTCTCCCATTGTTTATATTTGTCTGATCTTTTATGTCCAGTAGTACTTGTTTTATGACGTTTAATGTGTATTGGTCAGTGTGTACACATTAATAATTGTTATCACATCCTGTTAGATTGTTCCCTTAACCATATGTAGTGACCTTTGTCTCATTTGATCAGTTTGGCTTGAAGTCCACTTGTCTAAATATAAGACAGCTATACCTGATTTTATTCCCCAAGTTTCCTTTGCATGAAATATTGTTTTCCATTCTTTGATTTTTAGTGTATGAGTTTCTTTGTGGGTTAAATGTGTTTCTTCTATACAGAATACCATTGAATTTTGTTGGTTGATCCATTCTGCCAGTCTGTATCTTTTGATTGGGGAATGGAGACCATTCACATTGAGAGTTACTGCTCATAGATATGACTTATTCCTGCCATTGCCTTATTTTCCTGTTGCTGATTCCTTGGCTTTTCTGCCACTTAACTGCTCACCCTATTTTTGTATTCATTCTTTTTTTTTTTTTTTGTCTTTTTATCGGTACCAGGGATCGAACTCATGACTGCCTGCTTGCAAGGCAGGCGCTTATGCCACTGAGCTAAACCCCCAGCCCCTTGTACTCATTCTTATTAGAGCTGTTGTTATTGTTAGCTACATTGTCTCTTTCTAGAATATTTTTGAGAATTAATTGTAAGTTTGGAAATACTATTTTGACCTACTGGTATCCATGCTCTTCAATGGCTAGATTTACAAGGAAAATCAAATTTACCAATTCTATTTCTCTTCAAAGTATCAATTAAATAAATAACTGGTTTCTCTTTCTGGCCCTAACTTTTTTTTAAATATACTTTTTCATGACTTATCCTAGTTGTTTACTCTGTTTTAAATATGTTAGCAACTTCTTCACACCAGACTTTCATCTATCCTTTCTGTGACAAATTAAAGCAGTGTGCTTGAACCAAAATATTCTAGCTCTGCTACTATGAAATACTGTAGCCAGCAGGTGCAGTGCCAAGGTGAACTGCTTTGCTCAGGAGAACTGTTTCATAAGGGGAGAGATTTAACCTACCATCATGCCACCACATGCCCATCTGTGTTATAGGACAGCTTCTTTACCACTGTCCTGCAGGTGTCCTCGACTACTGGAAAAGCTTGGGGAGGCAATGTTGGGGATCATACTCAACATTAAACATGTTGGGCAAGCACTGTACCACTGAGCTACATCCCAGTCACAAAGTTTACATTTTTATAATTTAAATTATTTAACTAGGAACCTCTTTCCATCTTTTTTGGCCTTGTCTCTTTCTTTCCTAAACTTTTTCTGTCTTTTTTCTTTTCTCTTTTTTATCGGTACCCGGGATCGAACTCATGACCACCTGCTTGCAAGGCAGGTGCTTATGCCGCTGAGCTAAATCCCCAGCCCCAACTTTTTCTGTCTTTGAAGACTGTAGAAGCATTGAAAAAGTATGCCAAATGAATCTTTCAACCCAGTGGGTGCTTGGATAATTTAGTTTTGTCATACTCAGGGGATACTAGACCTGACAGCTTAATTCTTGAGACCTCTAGAAAATATATGATTCCGTAAAGATTCAAACTTTCTCCATGCTCATATCCCCACAAATCCTTAAGTATATCCTTTTCTGATTGGAAGCATGGGGTTTTGAGAAAATCTCTCTGTTTCAAGCTTTTCATTTCAGCTGTAACAATTGTGGGCAAAACTGTTCGTTTCTGATCAGAACTCAACATAGTACTATGTCAGAATTAACAGCCCTAGGGCCAGCACTAGAGTATAAGGGAACATCGTTTTCATCAGCCTCATTATTCTCTTACCTGTTCATTTATTTACGGCTGCTTAACTCTGTTTCCCTGGCTTGAGCTATAATAGCTACCTCTTCTCTCTGCATGATTGTAGACTCCATCTCCATTTCAGCCCTACTTGTACCTCTTGTGTACTTTTTGTATTAATTATTGGCCTGTCTGGGCCCCTATCCTAGATCCAGATGGCTTACCTAGACATATCCTTTTTACTGTGATTAGTTATCACAATAAATTCTAAAATTTAATGCAACTGTCTCCTACTATTTCTGTATTGAAAGTAAATAATCATGAAGAAGTTTTAAAATTCTTCTGGTTAGAAATTATGTTAGCAGAAACATTGTTCCTTATACTGTTGATAAGAACAATGTAACTATTGCTTGCAACTGTTTTTGTTTTGTTTCTAACATAGGAATTTTTATACAATCCATTGCCATTGTATGACAGAAACACAGTTGAAACACAACCACACATTTTTTAAGTTTTGCTTGGGTGCAGTTATAACATGCATTCCCTGTGGTGAAAAGCCCCTCCCGTCACTGTACCTTTGACCTGGTACCAGTAGGGGGAAGGTGTTAATTACCATGTTGCCATGAGGTTTATGAACTGGCATTAACATCTCAGCAGGAGAAAGATGGCATAATGGCCACTTCTGAGGATGGATAAAGAAAAGTATCATTACCTGCGGACTTCTTTTTAGTAGCAGACTCTCATGCTTTTTATTTTAGCAATACGGAACAAGTATTATTTTTAAAGCACCTTACTCGATTAGTAGTATAACTACCTTGTCATCTTTATTATCTGTGTAATTAGAACACAAATACTTTACTTCTTGTAAAGTGTAGGAATTGAATGTGCTTGATTAACATGTTAATTCATCTTTTAAGTCTATTATAGCCATGCTGTGGTCCACACTTTTGAGATTTGGTGAACACAGCTGGACTTTGAGAACACTCCCGGCAGGGTTGAGAAATTAATTATCCAAGTACTTACTTAAATCATTTTTTAAAAATCTTTCCAATAATTGCATACAGACTGCTTTTTGGTGAATGCAACAATTACACATTCCAAAGTCAGCCTTTTCAAATTACTTACAAGTTGTGATAAAGATATGTTAACATTTAAATTTTAAAAATTCATTACAGGACGAGATGCTTTGCAATGAATCCCCCCCAAAATACTCCTCACCTGGAGCACACTTGTCTCCTCGGTCTTTCCACTTTCTGAAGCAGTTACAGAAGTCATTTTTGGTGTCCCTAGTTGGGCTGTTGTGATTGCCTCCATATCCTAAATTGATTCAAATGCTTCCCTTTCATAGTTTTTTGGGGAAGAACCACAAGTCCCACGATGCCATACCCAGTGAATAAGGTAGAGGAGGACACACAGTGGCTCTCACTAACCCCCCTTCCCACTGTATGGCACTCAGTAGTGTCATTTGTTGTATTTTTGATCATGCTTCGTAAGGAAAAGGAGGCTTTCAGAACAGCTTCAGAAAGTGGCAAGAATTATGGGAACAGTGTGTTTGAAATGTGGGGGGCGGCATTATTTTGAGGGAGACTAGCAATCATTCTTTTACTGTAAGAAAGTTTTTAAAATTCCCTGTATATTTTGATCACAATTGTACTACTGCATTTTGGCCAATTTCCGAGATAAAATCTGTACTGAGTGTTCTGTTTAAGCAACTTTATTTAGTACCATTAGGGAAGTCTTAATACAGCTAAGCATTTTAGATCAGAGACTCTGGAAAAGTTTGATTTTCTTTTCAGTGAAAACTAAAAAGAGTACTGTACGTGTATTTTAAAACATATGAGGAACCAGCTCCTTGAGATTTAAGTATTAGCTGCAGCTTTTTATCAAAGTACAGTTCCGACCTGCGTAATGCTAATGTTAAGTGAAAGGACCAGGGATTAAAGCGATGGTTACAGGACACGGTTCATGATTGGTTTAAGAGGAACGAGCGTCAGTGTTTGGAACTTAGTCTGCATCACTTTGGCCAGATTTCTTGGTGTACATCTGTGCATCAGATGAACAAAAGCCCTGAGCGCTTGTAAATGCGGTGCCATCCGAGCGATACTGCTTCTGTGGAAGAGGGAGCAGGGGAAAATTGCATCTTAACTTTAAAATGGAAACCTCGTCACTATTATTCTGCAAATATTTCTTGATAAAAACAAGTTAATTTTTAAAAAAAAAATTGTATGTATAAGTAACGAATAGTTCCACATGTGAAGGTCGTAATATAAATTACTAGAATTACACTTACTATTTATTTCTACTTCTCTTTCACTCTGCTCTTGTCTTTAGAAGCTTGGGGCATTTTGCTCACCAGTTCCTGTGCTTCAGGCATTATATTGCATTTCCTATTTAAAATCACCAAGTAAACAGGCTTTGTTTTCAGTGAGGAGACTGCGTGTGTGAACACTGAGTGCGCTGTCAGCACCTCCTTGGTGTTAAATAAGCACTTGCTAAGTCTCAAACCTTGCTTTTCCCTTGTTATAGAATTTCCATAGCATTGATAAATATCACATAAGGCTAGAACAACATACAGCATCCACAACTCATGGTGCGTTTTCATTGTGCTCTAGAGAGTAAGAGGTTTGTATTTTTTTAATCTCTGACACCCAAGATGATGAATGTCGTCTTTGTAGCTGTAGGACTCTTTAGATAGGTAGGCAGTAATAAAGTATCTGAACCAAATTTTGTTTTATTTTTTCTTTTGGTTTATAAAAGCTGAAAATAGAAAACTTTTTCATGAGCAAGAGGTTGAAAAGTGCCTGGTAACCCTTTTGGGTTCTGAAAGTGATGGAACTAAAATCACCGCTTCCCAAGCTATCTCCGCAATGTGTGCGAACGCAAGCAGCAAAGACTTCTTCAACACTCAGGGTAAGCAGGCTGGGAATGAACACTTTGAACCTTTTGTGATTTCCTTTTTCTAGAATTAGAGACTCTTTGGCATCACCTTTTTCCTTTCTTTATCTGTAGGGATTCCACAGTTAGTACACTTGCTCAAAAGTGACAATGAAGAGGTCAGAGAAGCCGCTGGCCTGGCCCTGGCCAACCTGACTACTTGCAATCCTGTTAATGTCAAGTGAGTTTAAAAACCTGGACTCCACCCTGGCTGACTGTGGTACAGGTGACAGTCTAGAGGTCTCAATTGTGGTATTTTGTTTTTTAAGATAGTTACATATATTTTTCAGATGGCTATTCTTCAGAATACCTTATGAAAATAGAGTTATTGGATTTATCTGTTTTACAAAGATTACAGAATCTTGACTTCCTGAGTTTGTTGGGAAAATGTGCGGGTCATTTGATTTGGGCAACAGGCTAATTCTAGAAACTTCTAACACAAGTAAAACTGGCTAATGCTCCAAATGTTACTGGCAGTATTATAAAAACAACTGATGAATCTAGAAAGAATTTTAAAAGTCCATTTGAAAAGATATATGCATTAGAAAATATAGGAACATTATTTAGGGCAAATATTGTACCATGAAGAAAGGTTGGGGAATAACGCTTTCTGCATTATGAAAGTGAAGTATGTAATTTATATCTTTTTCAAAAATTAATTCTCAAAATAATCTATGAAAAAATAAGGATACCATGTTGTTGCAAGCTTATATAATTTTCTTAGATGCACACATTTATTAAATAGTTGAAATAGAAACACAGGAAAATTGGATCCCAAAATCTCTGTTTTTAGAAAGCTGTAGAGCATTGCTTTATAAAACAGGAAAAATTTCTCAAAGGAAAATTTCATGCATAAAATAATTGTTTGCCCTCCGTGTATCTCATTTGGAATGTGAGTTAACTTTCATTTATTATTGTTTTGCGACATTGAGGTTAAAATTACTTTTTTTGGAACTTGAAATGAAGCCTTTGCTTCCGCTATCATGTACTTAATTTATTCCTTAATCTTTCTTTTCCTTTCTCTACTCCCACACAAATATTTTCTTAAGACCTTATTGGAATGACTAAATATCTAAAAATGTCTGATTAAAGAAGTACCAGAACCACGTGAGCATCAAAACAAAACTGTGCTCTTTTATCAGCCATAGTATTTAGCATAATAATTGCCTAAATCAGGGGTCATCGTTATTTCCATGAAAGCAAAGAATATTGAATCACAAGAAGTAGCATTTTGAAAATAGCATATTCAGTGATTTTCCCAATATAGTCATACTACTGCAAAAAAATCTTATCAGCAGTGCTAAAACATTTTTATCTCTAGTTCATTTAAAACTCATATTTTATCTAAAATACCTTAATAATCCTTCAAAGCATACAAAATGTTTTGCTTTGATATAAGTTTGTCTGGCTTCTATTATTTCACAGTTCTGATTGCCACATAAAATCATAGACATTTGCAGTGGTGAATACATAATTCCAAAAGGATCTGCTTTCAGATTTTCTCTTTCAATGTAGTTATTTCCGATTTTTGTCATCTGACTATAGTTCTATTTTGTCAACAAAAGATTGATGTCTGACTACTACAATCAACTTTCCTTTGTAATTTTATTCTTATTAAATTTTAATTGCGGCATTTAAAAAACCACTTATACACTGTTCACTTCTGCTACCCACAGTTCCCCGCCCAGGGTTTGTATTTGGTAAGGTTTCTCTAGATACTCTTTGAAGTCTATAGAAGTTTTTACTTTGAACTTTTTGTGCTAAAAAAACCAAAATACTGAAATGTGTTCTTGAGGAGTCAGATTTGGCCTGTTAGCGCTGATCCCTAAAACAGGAGTTGAAGATAGTTGTCCAATCAGTCAGAGAGAAGGAGCAGATAAGCCCTGCTGTGGGCTGCTCCAGCCAGCCTGCTGACCACATCCAAAGGCCACAGAAATAACAGCAAAGCAGACTGCTTATTTTTAATAGACAGTGTTTTCCACTCAGATCATCTGTAAAAAACAAAGCATAAGGTCAGGCCTAGCAAATGTTTCTGGGAGCCTTTGAAGAAGCAGTTTCTCAGCCATCTCTCCTAACAGTGGCGTGCTTGCTGCTGGGGTGGTTAAAATGAGGCTTTTCTGAGTGCTTTTCTGTCCCACCTAGCAAGGAAAGGAGGCCAAACATTAAAGACCTGTACGGGCATTCAGTAGCTGTTTGCATATCTGATCATTGCCACCTACATTTACATACAATGCATTTACATACAAATGCTAATTTTAATTATATTCCAATGTAATGCATCTTCTATACTGGTATCTCCTCATGCCTAGAATTAATTTCTAATTCTTCAACTTTGGGCATTTTCTGGAGTTGAGGAGCGTTTCATGCACTGAGTAATCATTGCTGTGCTATGGTAATACAGAGCACTGGTGTAATTTCCTGTATGCGATGGGCTTTGGCCTAGAAAGTTGTGAGGACAACAAAATTTTCTAAATTAAAGGAGAAGAAAATCAACCAGAGGGAAAAGAAACATAATTTGTGGTGACAGATTTTATAAAGATGATAAATGATAAGACTGGGTAGTGTTTGCCTAACAAGAAACCAACCTGGCAAATGCTTTTTTATTAAAATATTTTTATAATCTAAAATTATGCACTCTGGGAGGTTGAGGCAGAAGGATCACAAGCTGGAGTCCAACCTGGGCAACTAAAGAGAGACCCTGTCTCAAAATAAAAAATTTAAAAAGGCTTGGGGCAGGTAACTCGCTGGGAAAGCCCTGTAGTACTAGTCTGTAGTACTATTTTTTAAAAAAGGCTTTTACAATCTATCTGTAAATTAATTTTTTACCTATTATATCTGACTTCAGATTTTTCCTGCATCCTGTTTCTCAGAATAAGAAAACGCATTCACATACAAGAAAATAGTGCAATAGTAGGAGATTTGGGTAGTGATGATAAATAACCAGACCGTCCAGATAAACCCCTTTGTGGAAGGTTTTCAGCTTTCGAGTCATTTGAACGTCACCTTGATTGATGCCAAAAGATCCCTTTTGTTTGGGATTCTGCGTGAATGAAGCATCTGAGACACATTTTCTGGACATTTCCAAAGTTACTACTTCAATTAACAGCACTTTAAAATTTTTGTTAATGAGTTTGGATTACAGTTTTCTAAAATCCTCCCCTTCCAGCTCCTCTGATGGAGTCCACTGCTGTCAGACATTGGGGAAGAAGATGTATCACTCCAGACTGGATGTGCTCCTGGCTCACAGTCAGGCTCCTCAGGGTTAGAGTCTCTGTCCCCACTCACAGGGTGCAGCTTCCGGGAGGTGTCCCTCTGGGCTTTCAAGTGTCTTGCTGACCCCGCCAGGTGAGGCTGCTGTCCTTTTTCACGTAAGGCACAGGTCAAGTGTGCAGAGCTTCTGACATACTCTGTGCTGGAAGTTCCCTTCACAGCCTTCTTCCTGTGAGTTAAGAGATTAGATACCAGATAACTAACTTTATCACATTTTATGTGAAAACCCCAAAGCAAGCCTTGAGGCCTCTTCTTCATATACTGGCTTCTCAAAAGGACATTTCTCCTCTTAGCCCTTGTAAGTTCTCAAGCATGCTCTGAATTTATGAGTGTCCCAGATACTTGGGTTTATTTTGATTGAATCATCATTTTAAAAAAGTATTAACAAATACAAATCTTTTTACTTGCAAGCAAGCTAATATGGTGGAGTAAAATGATAAAGAATAAAATTGGCCATTAGGTACGTTCTAGAAGTACATTCAACTTGCAGTTTCATTTTGCCTAGTCTTCTGTTGTGCTAACCACTCTCTTGCCTGAATGCTTTCTGCCAGGCAGTCTTGGGGCTCACTTCCTCACCACCTCCAGCCACTTCTCCAAAGTCACACTAGCAAAGAGGCTGTCCTTTGTGGCTGCAGGGTTTTACTGTTCCACACACATGCACACCATCAAGCTCCTTCCCTGCTGCCTCTTCTTCTACCGTCACCAGCATCTGGGAGGTGAACAACCTTGTTCTTCGCAATTCACTGATGAATCCCAGACATCTAAAACAGTGTCCATCCTACAGCAGGTGTTTGGGAGTAAGCATAGGTGTACACCAAAACAAAACAAAACTCAAGCAAGCCTAAAGGGACAGTAAAAAATGTAGGAAATCTATTTCAATAAAGTGTAAAGCGTCCACAATGTCCATAACTTAAAGTAATGTGTTGGTTTTGTTTTGGAAGGGTTTTTAAAAATTTAATTTGGGTCACAAAAAACTAAAAAAAAAAAAAAAAAAATAGCAAGAGACTTCTCTTCATACTTTTCATTCTTTATTACCTCCAGAATAAAGGCTGGTAAGAAAAAATATGAAAAGATCTTAAAAAGACTAAAAGCAGGCATTTGAAGGCAGGGTTAAAGAGGACAAAAACAGAATCATGTATTAGAAGTAAATGAAAGAAGAACATGAGTCAATAAAAAATGAAACTACCCCCCATCTAAAGGAGGGTTTAAAAATGGAAACCAAGACACGGTAGTGAGCTTTATAGAACATGTAATCCATTTAGTTAATTTGGACAGACCCTTTCTTGGTGTTTTGCTAATCTATTTGACAATCATTTATAATGCTTTTTGGAAGTAAGAGGCTACTCATTTTCAAAACAGGAAATGTTTTCAACTAATTTCTTGTTGTATTTACCCTATGTTCTTTTATCCAATAAATCATGTCAAAAATTTTGTATTATTTATACAAATACTGTGAGAATTATTCGTGGATGACATCTTTCTGCATATAATGAGAATATTTTAAACTGTTCATAACATCACTGCCATCTGTTGGATCTGATCAGAATTAGTTTTTAAAGTTTCTCCCGGAATGAAAGACTTCAATGCTTTTCATTTCCTTTTGCCAATGCTAAGTAGATTTGGCCATTGGTAACCTATGGCACGATTAGAGAATTAGTGAGGGCTGGTGTGTGGCCCAGTGATGAAGTGCTTGCCTAGCATACACGGGGCCCTAGGTTGATTTGTAGCAGAGAGAAAGAAAGAGAGAGAGAGAATTTGCATAAATGTTGGATCATTTTCAAACGGAACAATTATTTTTTTACAAAATAAAATGCAATGAATAAAATAAAACTAAGAATAACTAAAATAATTTAATATATGTAGAAAAGTAAAAATGATAGTTTTTGTACAGTAGACACATAATCGAGACTC